CACACACACACACACACACTCACATACACACATACACACATACTCACACACACTCACACACACACACATTTCTCATAAGCTCTCCCAAACTGTTGCTGTGAGGGTGTGCTGAAGTCTCCTCTGTTGTCCATGGGTAATCTGCTGCTTGCAGAATGGTTGTGATGATGGTGAGACTGATGCTTGCCTATCCCTTTGAGGTTGTGTCTCCCTCTGAGGGGGCAAACGGGCTGACTGAGGGGGTAACTGATGGGAAGACTGTCCACCTCAGTAGCAGCTCATGTGCGAGTTGTACCAGTGGGGATGTGACAGGTTCCAGGAGCTGTGTAAAAGCAGCAGGTAAAGACAAATCTGCTCAGGGATTCTGATTGGAAAAACCCAATCAGCGGTGATCTGTTGGTATTTTATGAAAGTTGATCTGTGAGTGGGAGAGTTGCCTTGACTTATGACATTCAACATATTGGTGTCCACAATGTTGTTTTCTAGGGCAGAGATACTTTACAAGACAAGTGTAACTGCAGGATGTTCAGGCCTGGGGCTTGATGCAGAGGAGGTTCACTGGAATGGTACCAGGGTTGAGTGACTGCACACATACAGCAAGATTAGAGAAACTGATACAGTTCTCCTCAGAACAGTGAAGGTTAAAAGAAGTGACCAAAAGTCAGAGGGGTTTTAGTGGAAGGTAGACGGGTTGATAAGCAGACAGCACAGAATCTAAAGTAACCAGTGAGAAAAGAATTGGATGGAAGATGGAAAAGATTTCCTCTATGGGTAGTGGGATTAGTTTCAGCTCTTTCTAAGAGCCTACACAGACAAGATGAGCCAAATGGCCTTCTTCAGTGCTGCTAGATTCTCTGATCAGAAGAAGTAAGAACATATGAACTAGGCACAGAAGTAGTTCAGCCCCTCGAGCCTGGTCCACAAATCCTGAAGCGAGGTTATTATGTAAACAAAGGTCCTGAGGGGGGTGGGATGTAAGGTGAACATTGAGCTAAATGTGGTTCTGAGAGGATCGGTCCCTCTGTCACAATTTTCATCTCCTCTGGTCACTGTAAGATTGCTTGCTCCATCGTTCTTGACAGTTCACAGTTAGCTGATGATCTCTTTCATTTTTCTTTCCTCAGGGCCCTGTTGGAGCATCTGGCCCCAAAGGTAACCAGGTAAGGAAACGATCATATTCATTCCTGCAGTGAGAATTGTTTCTACTATTGAGACCCTATTCTGAGATATTGTGGCTGCCAACTGTACTCCTGGAGGATTTACCATGGGATCTCTGTGCTGCAGCCCCTCCCCCTCTATCCTCCTGTCATTGTCTTCCAATTTGTCCATTCACATGGCGCCTGGTCTATTGATGGTGTTTCCAGTCAAACAGCCTTTTCCATCTGTCAAACGTGATTAATGAGTTCGAGCACTGAAAGAACTTTAGATTAAACCCAATCTTTCTGCTGGGCTATTCTCAACAAAATCCCCAACATTACCTTCAAATCCTGCCAACTCCAGACCCTACCCAGATCCAGTCTGAAGGAAGTCTCAGGGATATTTGGGTTCATTGTGAGAACATAATGCCAGCATTTCAGCCAAAGCCTCTCTGAGGGAGTGTAAGTGATCTGGGTTAAGAGTTTTGGAGCTAAAGGTCTCTGTTACTTTTTAATTGACGTAGTGAGTGTATTTAATTTATAATTCTAGTAGATTTACCAGAATGAAACCTGGATTTCAAGGATTAATTTGCAGTAGAGATTTCACAAAGGTTGCATTATCTACAGCATGGATAGGTAAAGGGTGATTTGATTGAACCTTTGTCTGTTCAGACTGAAGCAGTAGATGGAATGTAGCTTTCTGGTTGCTCTTTGTTACTTGGTGGCTGTTGTAAACTCAGCTTTCATTTCTCATTCCCGCATGTCCTTAGAAAAGAAAGTGATAGACTTTCCAGATTCATTGAAGCCCATTAATTGCACATCTCTGACTTAATTGTAACATCTCAGTAGCTTGCTATGTGGTTTCAGAATGTGAACATTGACTCATGCTGTGTTGGAGTGGGAGTCATCTGTTGACCCTGAATTAGATGGTGTTCTTTTGGACAGTTAGCAGACATATTGAAGTTGATTTGCAACTTCCAGCTTGAACCTGAATCCAGTAACCAGACAGGCCACTCCCTATGGAAACAACAAAATCTGCATTGGCATCAATGGGTTGAAAATCCAAGCATTTTCTGCAAGGACCCACTCGCCAGGTTACCACCAGCGGTGGGGCAAAGAGAAAAGTTAAGTCAATCAAATGCCCTGGTGTTCTCAACATTGACCCTGGACTCCATGAAGCCTCATGAATCCAAGTCAAACGTGGGCAAGGAAACCTCCTGCTGATTACCATCAAGAGATAAGGCTGAAGCATTTGTAGCAAGCTTCAGCCAGAAGTGCCAAAAGGATGATCCATCTCAGCCTCCTTTCATCCCCAGCATTACAGATACCAGTTTTCAGCCAATTTAATTCGCTCCATGTGATATCAAGAAACGGTTGGAGTCACTGGACACTGTACAGGCTACAGGCCCTAACAATATTCCGGCCATTGAAGACTTATGCCCCACAACTTGCTGCTCCCCCAGCCAAGCTTTTCCAGTACAATTACAACACTGGCACCTGCTGACAATGTGGAAAGTTGTCCACGTATGTCCTGTACACAAAAGCAGGACAAATCCAACCCAGCCAATTACTGACCTATCAGTCTACTCTCGATCATCAGTAAAGTGATGGAACGTGTCAGTAACAGTGCTATCAAGCAGCAGCTGCTCAGCAATAACCTGCTCAGTGACGCCCAGTTTGGGTTCCGCCAGGGCCACTCAGCTCCTGACCTCATTACAGCCTCGGTTCAACACATGGACAAAAGAGCTGAAATCCAGAGCTGATGTGAGAGGGACAGCCCTTGACATCAATGCTATGTTTGACTGGGTGTGGCATCAGGAGCCCTAGCAAAACTGGAATCAATGGGTATGAGGGAGCAAACTCTCCAGTGGTTGGAGACATACCTGGCACATAGGAAGATGGCTGTGGTTGTGGGAGGTCAGTCATCTCAGCTCCAGGATATCTCTGCAGGAATTGCTCAGGGTAGTGTCTTAGACCCAACCATCTTCAGCTGCTTCAACAATGACCTTCCCTCCATCACAAGATCAGAAGTGGGGATGTTCGCCGATGACTGTGTAGTGTTCAGCACCATTCACAACTTCTCAGATACTGAAAAAGCACATGACCATATTCAGCAAGACCTGGACAATATCGAAGCTTGGGCTACCAATGGCAGGGAACATTCGTGCCACACAAATGCGAGACTATGACCATCACCAATAAGAGAATCTATCTAAATCTCCTTGACATTCAATAGTGTTACCATCACTGAATCCCCCACTATCAATATTCTGGGGGCTACCAACTGGACTAGCTGAATAAATATTATGGCTACAATAGCAGATAAGAGGCTGGGAATACTGCGGTGAGTAACTCACCTCCTGACTCCCCAAATCCTGTCCACCATCTACAAGGCACAAGTCAGGAGCATGATGGAATGCTCCCCACTTGCCTGGATGAGTGCAATTTCAACAACGCTGAAGAAGCTTGACACCGTTAGTGTTTATTGTGGAACAGGATATGGAAGGTAGGGAATGTGAGGAAATAAATAGCAACCTATTACAGAGGAGGAGATGTTGGACGTCCTAAAATGCATAAAGGTGGATAAATCCCCAGGACTTAATCAGGCATACCCTATAACTCTGTGGGAAGCTAGGGAAGTGATTGCTGGGCCCCTTGCTGAGATATTTGTATCATCGATAGCCCCAGGTGAGGTGCTGGAAGATTGGAGGTTGGCTAACATGATGCCACTATTTAAGAAAGGTGGTAAGGAAAAGCCAGGGAACTATGGACCAGTGACCCTGACATCAGTAGTGGGCAAATTGTTGGAGGGAATCTGGAGGGACAGGATTTACATGTATTTGGAAAGGCAAGGATGAATAGGGATAGTCAACATGGCTTTGTGCATGGGAAGTCATGTTTCACTAACTTGATTGAGGTTTTTGAAGAAGTAACAAAGAGGCAGAGCAGAAGACTGATCTGTATGGACTTCAGTAAGGTGTTGATCAAGGTTCCTCATGGTAGTCTGATTAGCAAGGTTAGATCACACAGAATACAGGGAGAACTAGCCATTTGGATACAGAACTGGCTCAAAGGTAGAAGACAGAGGGTGGTGATGGAGGGTTGCTTTTCAGACTGGAGGCATGTGGCCAGCGGTGTGCCACAAGGATCAGTGCTGAGTCCACTGCTTCTTGTCATTTATATAAATGATTTGGATGTGAATATAGGAGGTATGGTTAGTAAGTTTGCAGATGACACCAAAATTGGAGGTGTAGTGGACAGTGAAGAAGGTTACCTCAGAGTACAAAGGGATATCGATCAGATGGGCCAATAGATGGAGGAGTGGCCACCGGACCCAAAACGTTAACTCTGTTTTCTCCTCCGTGGCAGATGGAGTTTAATTTAGATCAACGTGAGATGCTGCATTTTGGAAAGGCAAATCAGAGCAGGACATATAGACTTAATGCTAAGGTCCTGGGGAGTATTGCTGAACAAAAAGACCTTGGAGTGCAGGTTCACTGTTCCTTGAAAGTGGAGTTGCAGATAGACAGGATAGTGAAGAAGGCATTTGATATGCTTACCTTTGTCGGACAGTACATTAAGTATAGGCATTGGGAGATCATGTTACGGCTGTTCAGGACATTATTTAGGTCATTACTGGGATACTGTGTTCAATTCTGGTCTCCCTGCTGTAGGGAGGATGTTGTGAAACTTGACAAGGTTCAGAAAAGATTTACAAGGATGTTGCCAGGGTTGGAGGGTTTGAGCTACAGGGAGAGGCTGAATAGGCTGGGGTTATTTTCCCTGGAGTGTTGGAGGCTGAGGGGTGATCTTATAGAAGTTTATAAAATCATGAGGAGCATGGATAGGGTAAATGGACAAGGTCTTTTCTCCAGGGTGAGGGAATCCAAAACTAGAGGGTCTAGGTTAAGGTGAGAGGAGAAAGATTTAAAAGGGACCGAAGGGGCAACTTTTTTATGCAGAGGGTGGTACATGTATGGAATGAGCTGCCAGAGGAAGTGGTGGAGGCTGGTACAATTACAACATTTAAAAGGCATCTGGACAGGTATATGAATACGAACGGTTTACAGGGATATAGGCCAAATGCTGTCAAACAGGACTAGATTTATTTAGGATATTTATTTAGGTTGGCCTGGACAAATTGGACCAAAGGGTCTGTTTCTGTGCTGAATATCTCTGTGACTCTATGACCAGCCAGGATAATGCAGGCCACTTGACCGGCACCACATCTACAAGCATCCACTCCCTCCACCACTGATGCTCAGAAACAACAGTGTGTACTATCTACAGGATGCACTGCAGAACTTCATCAAAGACTCTCAGACAGCACCTTCCAAGCCCACGAGCACTTCCATGTAGAAGGACCAGGGCAGCAGATACATGGGAATATCACCACCTGCAAGTTTCCCTCCAAGCCACTCACCATCCTGACTTGGAAATATATTGCCATTCCTTCAGTGTCAGTGGGTCACAATCCTGGAATTCCCTCCCTAATGGCATTTTGGGTCTACCTACCGCGCATGGACTGCAGCGGTTCAAGAAGGCAGCTCAGCACCACCCTCTCAAGGGCAATAATACGGGTAATAAATACAGGCCCAGCCAGCAACACCCACATCCCATGAATGAGTGAAAAAGAACATTCCCTGTATTGAGTGGTGAAGCCTGAGAATTAAAGCCCATTCAGAAAAATAAACTGGAAAATAGCCAGCAGGTTAACAAGGACCCAGAACCTATCTTTACCCTTTTCATATCAACTACTGTACATTTCCACAACTTTCCATCAGATATCAAGAAAATATTCCCTGAGTGATGTTTTACTTAACACTGGGAATGCAACATACTTTCTGTTGTTTAAGCACCGATTAACTCCTGTTGTATTTACTATTTTATAGGGACTTGCAGGATCTGATGGGCTGCCAGGAGATAAAGGAGATATGGTGAGTTAAAATCTAACATGAGATCAGAATTTCTTTTTGATGTAGCAAACCTTGTTACTCATAGATACTGATCACAGCTGATAGAACATGCCAATCCCTGCAATACAGTAGCAATAACCACTGCCAGTTCTTTCAGTCACACAGTATTTTTATGGATTCACCTGCCTGTCCAGCCTGATTATCATCTGATATTTCGCTGTAATAGGATGAGATACTGCTATGAATATAAGACCATCAAATGTGGAAGCAGGAGGCCATTCAGCCAATCATGTCTGCTCCACCATTCAATAAGATCGTGGCTGATTTGATAATCCTCAACTCCACTTTTCCTGCCTTTTCCCCATAACCCTCGACTCTGTTACTGATTAAAAATCTATCTCAAACCTGAATACACTCAATGACCCAACCTCAACAACCCACTTTGTAAAGAATTCCACAGATTCACTCTCCTCTGTGAGTAGAAATTCCTCCTCATCTCTGTAAAAAATGGATGACCCCTTACTCTGAGATGATGCCCCCTGCTCCTAGCCTCTCCCATAGGGCAAACCTTTCCATATCCACCCTGTCAATATATTGGGTGGTCATTGCTTTATATTAGTGAATTATTTGCAATAAGGAGCTGTTGATTGTAAAATGTTTGTGATATGTTGATTGTATTATGATATTAAGATGCAAATAGTTTACGGTAATGAGCTACTGGTTGCAATATGATAATGAGATATTGCCAGGAACAAGACCAACCCATTCTACATGGCCTTCACTGATCTGAGGCTTTTGACTCAGTCAGGAAGTGCTGTGGAAGATCCTGTCAAAGGCTATCGGTCCAGTGAAATTTATCAACATCCTCTATCTCCTCCACATGTCCGTGATGGTCCTTACTGATAGTAATGTAACAGAATCCTTTTGAGGTCATGACATTGGTCAGTCAGGGATGTATCATCACCCCCACCCTTTCCTCCATCATCTAAAAACTGAAGGAACTGCAGATAGTGGAAATCAGAAACAGAAACAGAAATTGCTGGAAAAGCTCAACAGGTCTGGCAGCATCTGTTGAAAGAAATCAGCGTTAATGTTTCAGGTTCAGAGACCCTTCTTCAGAATTGGAAAATTCAGTTCTGAGGAAGGGTAGTTGGACCCAAAATGTTAACTCTGCTTCTGTCTTCACAGATGCTGGCAAACCTGCTGAGTTTTTCCAGCAATTTCTGTTTTTGTACCATTCTTCATCTTGTCAAGAACAAGCTTCGAAGTGGTGTGGACATTGTCTACAGGATGGACAGAAAACTTCTCAACATCAACTGTTGGAATCCAAGAGGAACCTGACACTGACCTCGCTTGTGGAACTTCAGTATGTGGATGACAATGCTATCTCTGCTCTCAGAAGAGAATCTTCAAGCCTCCCTTAACATCATTGCGGGCACTTAATGAAGAATTCGTTTCAGCTTCAACTTCAAGAAGATTCGAATCTTTTACCAACTGGTCTCAGGTCAAGTTCCGGTCCATCCCTTGATTAAGAAAAACAGAGAAATCCTCCCAAACATGAATATAAGGCAGTTATCCTTCTGAGGACTTGGTTAGATCAGTTGGCTGGATGGCTGGCTTGTGATGCAGAATAAAACCAACAGAGTTAGTTCAAACCCCGTGCCAGCTGATATCATCACAAAGGACTCTCCTTCTCAACCTCTCTCCTCACCTGAGGCATGGTGTCCCTCAGGTTAAACTACCACTAACCATTTCTCTCTAATGAGAGAGTATCCGTGTGGTCTGGTAGGGCTATGGCTACTTTACATAATTCCAAGTCTTCTACATGGCTCCAAAACTTGGACTACATTTGATGTCACCTCAAGACCCTTAAGAATTACCATCAACATTGTTTGAGACATCAGCTGGGAGGACAAGCAAGCAAACAGCAGCAAGATTGAAGCAGCTAACAGCACCAGCATCAAGGTCATGATTATCCGAAACCAATTCCTCTGGGCTGGCCATGTATTTGGGATGTGTTCCAAGTGCCAAAGCAAATCATCTTTCCCCAGCTCAAGGAAGAAACTCACATGAGAGAAGGACACAGGAAGCATCGCAAAGACTCCCTAAAGGCTTCCCTCAAGAAATGCAACATTGATGTTGTTATACATTAATGATCCAGACAAAGGAACTGAGGGCATTGTTGCTACATTTGCAGATCACACAAAGATAGATGGAGGGGCAAGTAGTGTTGAAGAGGCAGAGAGGCTGCAGAAGGATTTGGACAGTAGCAAAAGAAGGGGAAGATGGAATATAACGTGGGAAAGTATGAGGTTATGCATTTTGTTAGGAAGAAGAGAGGCATTGACTATTTTCTAATTGAGGAAAGGCTTGGGAAATCTGAAGCACAAAGGGAATTGGGAGTCCTAGTTCAGGATTCTCTTAAAGTTAACTTGTAGGTTCAGGTGGCAGTTAGAAAGGCAAATACAATGTTAGCATTCATTTCAAGAGAGCTAGAATACAAGAGCAGAAATGTACAGTTGAGGCTGTGTAAAGCTCTGGTCAGATCGCATTTGGAATATTGTGAGCAGTTTTGGGCTGAGGAAGGATGTGCTGGCCTTGGAGGAGGTCCAGTGGAGGTTTTCAAGAATAATCCCAGGGTTGAAGGGCTTGTCATATAAGGAGCGATTGAGGATTCTGGGTCTGTACTTGATGGAGTTTAGAAGGATGACAAGAAGATGTGATTGAAACTAACAGCATACTGAGAGGCCTGGATAGAGTGGACATGAAGATGTTTCCAGTCATGGGAGAGACTGGGACCCAAGGGGGACAGCCTCAGAGTGAAAGGACGACCCTTTGGAAGTGAGATGAGGAGGAATGGTCTGGTGTATGTGTCTGTCTTGTGTGTGTGTGGTGTGTGTGTGTTGCATGTGTGTTGTGTTTGTGTGTGTTGCATGTGTGTGCATGTGTGTGTGATGTGGAGGTACCGGGGTTGGACTGGGGTGGACAAGGTCAGAAATCACACAACACCAGATTATAGACCAACAGGTTTCATTGAAATCATAAGTTTCGGAGCCTCACTTCTTCTTAAGGTGTTAGTGAGAAAAGTGGTATCAGACACAGAATTTATAAGTAAAAGATCAAAGGTTCACACCACTGATGAGGATTTATTAAACAAGCCTAAGGTGCTGTTAAATCTTTAATCAGTTAGAAGGTTTTAATTGATTAATATGATTATATAAATGCCAAAATTCTTTTGAAGTCACTGCTCTGAGAGAACTAAAGGTTTTATAAGTGTAAAGAAGAGGTGATATTTTAGGTCAGGCAATGCATGTTAGGTGTGAGGCCTTGTTTAGAATCCATTTGTGTTTTGGTTTGGAGTCAGACTGGTTTTATTTCTAAAGTAGGAATTTATAAAATGCCACATTGACTGGCTGTCTATAAATTGTGTACTTTTTGAACAAAATAGAAAGTATCTGCAAATACAAATTCATCCTGTGTGTGTGTGTGGTGTGTGTGCGTGTGCGTTGTGTACGTGTGTGTGGGGTGTGTGTGTGTATGTGTGTGTGTGTTGTGCATGTGTATGTGTGTTGTGTGTGTGGGGTATGTATGTGTGTTGCGTGCTTGTGTCTGTGTCTCTGTGTGTGTCTCCGTGTGTGTGTATGGAATTCCCTTGTCCAAGATGGAACTTGAAGTCTTTTTGAGAATTTGCGTCGCGTTGATGTGAAGTATTGGGGATATGGTTGTCTGGATATTCAGCTGGGTGTGGAATCACCTTCAGAGACAGACTGAAGAAGGGTCTAGGCCCGAAACGTCAGCCTTCCTGCTCCTCTGATGCTGCTTGGCCTGCTGTGTTCATCCAGCTCTACACCTTGTTATCTCAGATTCTCCAGCACCTGCAGTTCCTACTATCTCTGACCACTATTACCGATTGCCATCAGGAGACCAAGCCTGCACTGGTGAAAGCCTATTCCCAATTGAATCTTTAACCACTTTTGTTTTGCTCCCTTTTAGGGTCAGCCAGGACCGCAGGGGCAGAAGGGAGAGGTAAGTGTCATCAGAGAAATGCCATCAATTGGGACCTTTGGGAATCATAGGTTTAAAGTCAAGTTCCTCCTCATCAGCATCACTACACCAATGATTCTGACACTGTCTCCCGAAGAAATGGTACTTTTTTGAAACAAAGTCCGCCTCTAACCAGGTGGGTGAGTTGCTCACTCAGTTACAGGCCCATCTGACACTTACTGGGCTGAGCACGGTGGCAATGGAAATGATAAGTTGCCCCCATTCTGCCCAAAGTCAGAAGTCACGTGACGCCAAGTTATAGTCCAACAGGTTTATTTGAAATCACAAGCTTTCAGAGCGTTGCTCCTTCGTCAAAGACTTCTGACTTTGAGCACCCCAGTCCAACAGCGGCACCTCCACACCATGGTTACCATTCTCCCCGTATTTACAGCAGACAAGTCAGCTGCAAGTTGTAAAATTCATGTCAGCAAACGGCCTCACACCAGACCCAATGAAAAGGCAGAAACCGACAGAGAATGCAAGAGAAACTCAGCAGGTCTGGCAGCAGTGTGGACAGAGAAACAGAGCTAATGTTGAACAAGTCTGATGTGACTCTTCTTCAATGAAAAGGCTTTTGGAAGGGAGAAAAAGAGAACGAGAGAAAAAGAGAAAAGAGCAGAAAAGAATAAATCCACTACTTTCCGTTTGTTAAGTTTGTCAGTTTGCAGCTGACAGCTATTTCATACCAATTCAGTTTTTGACCTCTAACCGGATCTTGTGCAACATTAGCCAAACTATTAATTCATTTTATTTTTGTCTTCCTGATGTTTGCAGCCAGGAGCTCGTGGTGAGGTGGGACGGAAAGGGAATCCTGGTCCAGCTGGGGTTCCTGGGACAGATGGTGTTCCTGGTCCTCCTGGGCTAATTGGTATAGCCGGAGAGCGTGGTATCCCCGGGACTACCGGAAAAGCAGGTCCTCCTGTGAGTAAAGTCTTGAGAAATCCTGTAGAACAGGGCAAGGGCAGTTTTAGCTGTAACTTTCCTTTTGAACTTGATGTAGGGGATAATGAATCTGAGCCACTTCATACAGCAGCCTTCCCAGTAAATTTCAATCCCACACATACCTGACATGAGGCAACTTCATGAGCACAGTTCCTTTATGCAAGGAAAAATCATACAGTTCTGAAGGAGGCCATTCAGCCCATCCTGACATGAAGGAGCTGTGCAATTTCTCTTTATTCATGCCTCTGCCAATTTCTCCTTTTCACCGTTCACATTTTTGTTTCCAAATTCTACTCCTGTGTTCAAACACTTTGAATTCTGTGCTTTCCTTCAAGTCTGCCCTCTTGTCTATTCCCAGTTTTATGCCACTCACAACTGGATGCTGAGCCTCCTGCTGCTTAGACCCTAAGATTCTCTGGCTCTCCACCACTCGATCTTGAGTGACTTTTCAATTCTGCTGCTACTTTTCTAATATCCCTGCTTATGGCCCTGTGCCAGTTATTTGTTTTGCTAACTCTCCTGTGAAGTGCCTTGGGATATTTTAATACATTAGAAGCTTTATATAAGTGCAAATTGTTCCTGTTTTCCAGTATTTATCCAGGTCACGTTTAAAGGTAAGTATTAAATCTAGTTGTAGCACACTCTCAGGAAGTGCAATTCATAATACAACAACTCTCTATTTAAAATCTTACTTGGTCTGGCCTACGTGTGACTCCAGACCCTCAGCAATGGGGTTGTCTCTGAACTGCGCTCTGAGCAATTAGGGATGAGCAATAAATGCTGCCTGACCAGCGATGCCCTCATCCCGTTAATGAATAAAATAAAAATCACCATCCACCACTCCCCCACAACACCAGTCCATCCTGTAGTTTATTTGCCAGTAATCTTACTGGAACAATCTCAGGAACACTGTAAACAACATCAGGCGATGTGTTCTCAGCCTGTTAATTCTAAATTCATCATCTCATCATCCTCTTGTGACAGATACTTCCATCCCAGAAAATTCCGAAGCTGCATCCCAGCCGAATTCAGGTGGTCTGTTAAAATAGAGATGATTTTGCATGGTTATTAATATCCACACTTTTTCTTGGTTATTTTCAAGCTAACCCTGACAATCTCTCTCCAAAATAGGTTGTAAATGTTTCCTTTCATGCTTCTTAAATTGTATTAATCTGACAACATGTTATCTTGGGAAAGCAGCATCCCAATGGCTTGATTTAAACCCTGTAACATACAGAATACATTAATTAAATGCCAGACTGTTAATGTGGATGCCTGTACTGTTAAATTACTTTTTACACGGCAGGTTAGTTAGCTCATTTGGCTGCTTTGTGATGCAGAGTGATACCAACAGTGAGGGTCCAATTCCTGCACTGGCTGAGGTTACCGTGAAGGACTCTCCTTCTCAACCTCTCCCCTCACCTTAGGCATGGTGACCCTCAGGTTAAACCACCATCAATTGCCTCTCTCTAATGAGAGAGAGCTCAATAGTCTGGTAAGACTATGGTGACTTTACCTTTACTTACCGGAAGTTTATATCACCTTGCAGCTTTCTAAGTTGACGGTGTGTATGACTCCCCATTCCTCCTTAGTTTTCTGTCCCAGATTCATGTTCATCAAGTTACATGCTTTTCTCTCACTCATCCACAGGGAAAACATGCAAGTGAGCAACGAATCCGGGAACTCTGTCACAGCCTGATCAATGGTGAGTTTGTGTTAAAGAAACATCAAAACATGGAAAACAGGGAGAAGCAGTTGGCCACTAAAATAAAATAAAGAGCTGTGGATGCTGGAAATCTGAAACAAAATTAGAAACTGCTAGAGCAACTCAGCAGGTCTCACACCATCTGTGAAGATAGAATCAGAATTAACATTTTAATTCCAATTACTCTTCTTCAGGAGTTGGCCATGTGGCTCAATTAATTAAATAACCTTGCACAACGAATATTCATCATTCTGCACTCAGTTATGATGCATTGGTTAGCTTCACTGAAATCTGTGTCATTCCCAGACTTTAAAATAGATATAAATTCACATTTAGTGTGGTAACACATTTCTTTAGAAGTGAGAGAATGCTCTTTACCTAGAGACTGGTTAGAATGTGGAACTCATTACAATGTGGAATGGTTGAAGCCAATAGCGGGATAAATACATGTGGGAAAATGGAATACAAGTTATACTGTGAAATATAATAAGCTGGGAGGATGTTTGAAAAGGGAATAAATGGTATCACAGGACAACTGAATGACCAGTTTGTGTCCTGTAAGTTACATGTCATTTGTAATACATAAAGTTGTTAGTATCTTTAAATTTAAGCTTATTAATCAGCTTAATCCTCAGATGGGTAATTGCATTGGAACACTTATTATATTACAATGGGGTTGAAATTGATCTCTGCCTGATTGATTTCATTCGTAATATGGCTGTCACTTTTCCACAGTATCAAGACACAAGAAGTAGAAGCTGGAATACACCATAGGGCTCAAGTCTTCTCCACCATTTAATAAGATCATGCTTCCATTTCCACCTCAACTCAACTTTGCTGCCAACCCACAAACAACTTGATTCTTTTAAGAGTTCAATAAATTCAGTGAATTTTGCATCACAGATAGATGGGGTGATTAAGAAGGCATTTAGCATGCTTGCTTTCATTGCTCAGACCTTTGAGTACAGGAGTTGACATGTCTTATTGAGGTTGTCTAGGACATTAGTGAGGCCTCTTCTGGACTACTGTGTCCTGTTCACCCTGGTGAGGGTTCAGAAAAGATTTATCAGGATGTTGCTGGGAATGTAGAGTTTGAGTTATAAGGAGAGGCTGGATAGACTGGGACTTTTTTCACTGGAGCATAGGAGGTTGAGGGGTGACCTTATAGAGGTTTATAAAATCATGACAGGTACAGATAAGGTGAATAGCTGGGTCTTTTCCCTAGTGAGGATTTCAAGAGTAGGGAGCATATTTTTAGGGTCAGAGGAAAAAGATTTTTAAAAAGATATGAGGGGCAGCTTTTTTTTACACAGAGTGTGGTTCGTGTGTGGAATGAACCTGCAGAGGAAGTGGTGGATGTGGGTACAGATGCAATGTTGAAAAGACATTTGGATAAGTACATGAATAGGAAAGGTTTGGAGAGATATCAGCCAGGTGCAAACAGGTGGGACTAATTTAGTTTGGGATTATGGTCGGCATGGACTGGTTGGCCTGAATGGTCTGTTTCCATGCTGGATGACTCTATGACCCTGGTGATCTCAGTCTTGTGTAGTCATGTGTCTGGGGTGGAGAATTCCAAAGATTCTCAACTGTCTGAATGAAAAAACAAATTCTTCTCATTTTAGTTTGAAATTGCCCTCCTTTTATCATCAGATTATTCACCTAGTTCTAAGATCTCCAGCCAGGAAACAACCTCTCAGATTTCCTGTCAAATGTTCTCAGAATCTGTAGGACTTCAGTGAGATCCCCAGTGAAACTCCAGCAAATCTGGATTGATTCTACTCGGTAGAATCTCCTCATAGCACAACCCTCTTGCCCTAAGAATCAATCCAGTGAACCTTTTCTGTGTCTTGTTTAAGGCAGGTACGCCTTCCTCAAGGAAACAAAATCTGAACCTGGTAGTCTGGGAATATCCTTGCCAAAGCACTATGCAATTGCTGCAAGAATTTCTCCAGTTCTCTCACAGTAAAGGCCAATGTAACATTTACCATTCTAATAGCTTGTTGTACCTGCATGTGAATCTCCTGTGTTCCTTGTACTAAAACATCCAAATCCCTGTAAACACCAATGTTAAATACTTTCTCCCCAGTTAAAATATATTCTGTTTTTCAATTCTTTCTATCAAAGTGAATAGCCTCACATTTTGTTACATTATAGTCCATCTGCCACCTTCTTACCTGCCCACTTCACCTATTTATAACTCTGCATTTTCTGTGTCTTCCTCAAAGCCTATTGTCCCAAGTGATTTTGTATGGTCAGCAAACGTGGATCCATTACACTCTATCGCTTCATCCAAGTCGTCAATATAGACTGCAACTAGCTGGATCCCCAGCACCAATCTTTGTGGCATCCCACTATTAACAGCCTGAAAATGACACATTTTTTTCTACTCTCTGATTTCTGTCTATTTACTCTTTATTCATATAAATATATTGGTCTTAAATGCACAAGTCATAGTTTTATGTAATAAACTTTTCTGCGGCTCCTTATCAAATGCTTTGTAAAGATCCAAATATACCACATCTATAGTTTTCCCTTTATCTACCCTGATGGTTACAGCATTGACAGATCCCCATCAGATCATCATCTTTGTGCTGACTCCTTCAAAGAATTATCCAATTAGTACCACTCTGATTTGTCAATCAAATTTAATTTCCCTTTTATAAGACCATGTTCTTAGAAATTATACTGAGCAGAAGGAGGCCATTTGGTCTGTCATGCCTGTGCTAGCTCTTTGGAAAAATTATCCAATTAGTCCTACCCTCTGCTCTTTTACCAAAGCCCTGTAAATGTTTATCTTCAAGTATTCACCAGTTTGCTTTGACAGTTATGATCGTTACAAAGAAACCTAAAAGGGAACTCTTCTAAAAGATGGTGAGAATATGGATCTTGCTCCCACACCAAGTGGTTGAAGGAAATAGCATAGTTACATCAAAACAGAATCTAGACAAGAATTTAAGGGAGAATGGAATAGAGGGTCACAATGATACATTTAGGTCAGAAATGATGGGAGGTTGCTTGAGTAAAGCATGTAGGTTAGCCTGGACTGGTTGGGATGAATGGCCTGTTTCTTTGCTACATATCCTATCTGATCTTATGAACCTCCTTTAACCATCCTTTCAGGAAGTTCTTCCTAGATTGTAACAACTCACTGCATAAAACACTTTCTCCTCATGTCACCTCTCATTAATTTATTAAAAATACCTTACATCTGTATGCTGTGGTTACCAACCTTTCTCTCACTGGAAATAGCTGCCCTTATTTGCTCTATCAGAGTATTGTTATAAGTCTATTTTGTGGATCTTCATTAAACCCCTTCTGAAAGTCTATATGTGCAAAATCAACCTCACTATTCTCATCAATGTTCTGTTATTCTATTAAAGAAGATTTTGATTAATCATACAGCCATAGAAGATTACAGCACTGTGAGAGGCCCTTTGGCCCATTATATCCATACCAATCATCAAATGCCTGTATATTATAATCCCATTTCTCATCACTTCCCCCATTGCCTTGTATGCTATGGTATTGGAAATGTTCATCTCAATACTTCTTAAAAGTTGTAATGGATCTCACTTCTACCACCCTTTCAGGCAATGAGTTTCAGACATCCACCTGAATAAAAGAATTTACCCTTAAATCCCCTCTAAATTTCCTGCCCCTTACTTGAAGCCCATGTCCCTTGGTAATTAACCCCACTACTAAGGGGAAAAGTTTATTCCCATTGACCCTATCTATACCTTTCATAATTTTGTAGACCTCAGCCAGGTCCCTACCTCAATGTCCTCTGCTCCAAGGAAAACAACCCTAGCCTGTGTAGTTTCTCTTCATAGCTGAAACACTCCAACCCGGGCAACGTCCTGGTGAATCTCCTCTGTACGCCCTTCAGTGCAATCGTATCCTTCGTATAATGTGGTGACCAGAACCACACACAGCTGTGGGTCTAACTAATGCCCTATACAGCTCCATCATAACCTCCCAGCTCTTGTACTCAATCCTTCAACTAATAAAGGCAAGGTATCCCAGATGCCTTCTTATCCACTTGATCTGTTGCTTTCGAGGATCTATACACATGCATACTGAGGTCTTGCCTATCCTCGTACTAACCAGATTACAATCAACCATTCGTCATGTACTCCCTTGCCTTGTTATTCCTTCCAAAGTGCAACATTTGACACCTTTATTAAAAGCAACTTTATTAAACGGTTAAACTATAAATGTCATTGTTCTACCCATTTAACCAGCCTATCTATATTGTCGTATTACCTAAAGCTTTCCTCCTCACAGTCTACCACACCATCAACTTTTGTGTCATCTGCAATCTTACTGATCAAACCTCCTATATTTGAGTGTAACTCATTAATGTACCACAACCAGTAAGGGACTCAGCACCGAACCCCATTATTCGTCATTGGACACAAGCTTTCACTCACAATAGGGGAGGTGGTGGCCTAGTGGTACTATCGCTGGACAGTTAATCCAGAGACCCAGATAATGTTCTGGAGACTTAGGTTTGAATCCCGCCACAGCAGATGGTGGTATTTGAATTCAATAAAATATCTGGAATTAGGAACCTAATGATGACCATGAATCCATTGTCGATCGTCAGGAAAAACCCCTCTGGTTCACTAATGTCCTTTAGGGAAGAAAACTGCCATCCTCACCTGGTCTGGCCTAGATGTGACTCCAGACCCACAGCTATGTGTTTGACTCTTAATTGGTCTCTGGGAAATTAGGGATGGGCAATAAATGTCTGGTCAGTGATGCCCTCATCCCGCGAATGAATAAAAAATACAACAAACATCAAACAGCACCTTCTGCTTTCAGCCACTAAGACAATTTTTGATCCAATTTGCCAAACTAGCTTAGTTCCCATGGGCTCTTACCTTCTTGAACAGTTTCCCATGTGACACCTTATCAAAAACCTTACTGCAGTTTGTGCAGATTACATTAACTGCACTACCCCTATCTACACACCTAGTCACCTCCTCAAAAAAACTAAATCACGTTTGTTGGACATGATCTCCCCCTAACAAAGCCATGCTGACTATTCTTGACTAATCATTGCCCCTCCAAGTGAAAATAAATTCTGTCCCTCAGAATAGAGAATTTTTTTGTTTCCCTACTCACGAGCCTCTCGAACCCTGGTTTATCTCTACTACTCTTCTCGAATAAAGCTACCAGTTTAGCTGTCTATCGATCGTCCCACACCTTTCTTGTGTCTGAAGAACATTTGAAATCGTACTATGATTTTCTTGGTGCACTGTTACAATTTCCTTAATAACATGCCTAATACATTCTAGCATTTCCCCAATAACTAACTTACTTTCTTGAACAGTGGCATTACATTTGCAACCTTTCAGTCCAATAGACCATTGCAGAAGTAAGGGATTTTGGGAAAATCACAACTTCCACCAGCTCTGGTGTTATAGTGAGGACTTAAGGTGAAATAGGGAGCATATTCCATCCATAAACTCCTGTTTGCCCATGTATGATGGCAAGTCCTTTTGTTCACACAGCATGCTGTAAGTACACCTTCCTACCAGTGGTGACACTAGAATGCCACCCTTGGTAGGAGTGTGGAATCAGTGTAGCATGTCAACAATTTACAATGGGAAATGCTGAGGCAATCAGCTGTGGCTGAAATCATGACAGTTTGAAGTAAAGTATGTGGAGAATGTTTACTCGTGTTCCATGCACATTAATATTGTGCATAGGAGAAAGGACACTATTAAAATATGAATCTATTATTTCCCATATCTAATTTGTTTCAGAACACATGATATTTTAAAAAGTGAAGAAAATATTATTTAACATCTCCCTTGATGTTGCTGTCTTGAAAATGAATATATGCATTATCATCTATATCAGTGCATAGATAAATTTCAAAATTTATGCCTCTTGAAGGATTTGTGAAACTATTCTTCAGTACTTAGGATTTCAAAATTAAGTCAATCAGAAACCTAAGGTATAGAGTTTGGTTCCAAAATTGAACTAAATACAGTGTTTTTGCCAAACTTATCCTACAAAAATGTTGAATTTAATTTTACCACTAAAATTATATTCCTGTTGCACAGCTTCATTTAACCATGAGGTAATGAACTGACACATCCCTGGTTGCTCCTGATTCCAAGAGGAAATGTTTTGCTTGTCCGACCCGTCTTCCCTCTTAAAAGCCTGAGGCCAGCCAAGACCCAAAAACTATGCTCATCTCTAGGACACTTCTCCCACAGGATTTATGACTAAGCGTATATACAATCTCTCAGTGTTATTGAAATTGCTATCCTTCTCTGAAATGTTCCTCTCTTGTAAGGTGAAATATGATGTATGCATTGTAGATGCAACACCATGAGGTCAATGATTGGTTTATCATCTCCTCATATAATATGTTATTTGCCAGGACTTCAAAACTGGGCTCCTTTGCCTTTCTCGGTCCTTATTCTTCCTACATTCTATAAAGCCTAACCTTAATACCCTTGAATCTATTTGCCTCTCCTACTCTTTCTCATGTTTAACCTAGTGATTCCAATTTAATCAAAACACCAGATGGGAATGGAGTCAGGAACATAATGAAGCAGGACATCTCCTAGGTAGCCATCACACTGCAGTTCTAAAGAAGCTGTTAGACAAACCAGCTTTTTGCTAAACTGAAGCACCATCTTCCCTCACAGGTAAATGTGAAAGGTGTTATGGTGCTTTTGAAGAAAAACAGGGAAGTCCTCCTGGTGCCATGGCCAATATTTAACTTGCAGTAAACACCACCAGGAACAAATTAATCAGGGTTATTCATCTCATTGCTGTTCTCTGTGAAGTGGGTGTTATGAATTGGGGAAGAAAAAGTAGCAGAACAGTAACTTGACCGCATGGGCTGTGAAGCATTGAGGTCATTCTGAGTCTCTGAAAGGTGCTGTATTAATGCACGTTCTTCTGGTTTGCTTTGTAACAGAGGTGAAATGTTCGAATACTGAAAGATACAAAAAATGTACCTACACCTGAAATCATACAATAACAAGAGCATAGCTTAAAACTCTGACCAGATGAAAATTTAATTGCAAGTTGAATTTTCTTCTGTTTTATTTCTCCTTCTAGATCAGATTTCATTGTTAGCTAATAATTTGAGAAGGCCAATGGCCCCTGGAATGATAGGAAGGCGTGGCCCCCCTGGTCCTCCAGGTCCACCAGGGCCAAAGGGCAATGTTGGCCATCCAGGCAGACGAGGTCCAACAGGATTGACTGGACCATCTGGAGAACTTGGTGACACAGGACCACGAGGTAAGGCTGATTTCAGAGAGTTTAACTTGACACAGGATTTGACCCATCACCAACTGGACTACACTAGCATATGACAAGCCTTCACGGGTACAACTTAAAACAGTAAAAATATGATATGGCTAATGGGCTTTGCTTTTGGGACGTGGATATTCGCTGGCAAGGCCAGTGTTTCCGATCCCTTGCCACCTTGAGGAGTTGGTGTCAACCTTCTTTTTGAACTACTGCAGTCTTTGTAGGAGTGATGCTCCCAAACAACATTGGGTAAGGAATTCTCGATGTAAATTTCTGGGATTTGAATGACCAGTGGTATAGCGTGTGGCTTAAAGAGGGACCTGGTGGCAATTGTGATTCCATGGCCTTGCTCTTGTAAGACAATGAGAAACAGGAGCAAGAGTAGACCATTCGGCCCTCTCAGTCCTGCTATGCTATTCAATATGATCATGACTGATCTTCAGCTTCAATACCACTTTCATACCCAATCCCCATATTCCTTAATTCCCTGAGACACTGATGGTCTGCCTATTCTCAAACTTAAATGCATTCAATAATGGAGCACTGATAATACTCTGTTTTGGAGAATTTCAAGGATTCATGACCCTTTACATGAAGAAACATCCCATCTCAGAGAGAAATGATTGAATCCTTCTCCTGAATCTGTCTTCCCAAGTTCTAGATTCCCCAGCCAGAGACTACAGCCTCTGTGTCTAACCTATCAAGACCCTTCAGAATCTTGATGTTCTATTGGTGACAAAGGCTTTAGGGGATAGAGATGCTGTGGAGGTGATGAAGTGGCTTACTGCTTCCATAGTGTGGCAGTAAAGGAAGAAGGTGGATATTGAACTTACTCAAGTTAACTGTTTCCCACATCCAGCAGCCCAGAGACGAAATTCAGAGACTGTTTAGGCGGTGAAGAATTGTGGCTCATTGTCCCTGTTGAGTTTGAAGGTAGTCAAGATGCATCCAAATACCATGTGACTGTGGTGATGGCCAATTGGATCAGAGGTGATGTAATGATTTCCACCAGCAGTTAATGTCCATACTTCATGCCATTGAGTTGTTATGGGAATATCAAAAGGATCAGGAAAGATTTTGCCATGTTGTTTGTCTTGAAGAGAAATTCATTCTTGATGAATTCAGCTTCAGGAATCCATGATGGCTGCCTCCAGTTCTGGTTGTTTTCATTTTCATGAAGGTTTTCATTTATCTTACCAAAAGAAGACTGGTCTGCCCATTGTGTCTGTGGTAGCTCCTTAGCAGAGCTATTGAATTAATTCCTCAACTCTGCCCTTTCCCTATTGAACTGTAATTTTTTTTCTCTTCAAGTATTAATCCAATTTGTCTTCAAAGGTTACTACTAAATCTGTTTCAATGTCTCTTTCAAATCATAAAACGTTCTTGATTTTACTTTCTCTCCCTTTCCTGTTCAAACTGATCGTAGTTGCTGCATTCACTTTCTTTTATGGAGTGTATAAAAGAAGCAAAAATACTCTTTTTGAGAGAAGAGCATTGGGTTGCACGTTGCAAGGTTCCATGGGGCTTGGGTGAGAGTGCTCTAATGACAGGTCTACAAGTTTCCATAGTGTGTCAGTTTGAACATCAATGCAACCCTAGTGCACCACCTCACTCTGGTATTCCATCATAGTTGGTACCTTTTAGAGTTGATCTGGCTCCATGCTTTTCTCATCAGACACCTCACCCTGAAGCCTACTCAGTCCCAGAAAGCTTCTAAATACAACCTACGCGTGACATAGCAGGTATCATCCTTGATTTGGCGGTAGCACACTTTCAGCCCCGGTCTGGGCTTGTGTCTATGCTCTTGACTCTCCTTCAACACCACTTCATCTCATCCTATCATTTTACCCTTCAACTTCTTTCTACCTCAGACTTAAGTGCATCTATGGCATTCACCTTAACTCCCCTGTGTGAAAGTCAGGAATAATTTTTTCTTCTGAATTCCTTATTGGACTTTTTATATATTTATTGCCTTTAGTCTGGTCTGTTCCCGAAGTGGAAACGATCCTCTATGTTTACCTTATTAAATACCTTTATAAGTTTAAAGACTTCTGTCAGATTATCCCTCAGCCTTTTCTTTTCCAGCCTGCTCAGTGCTCAGTCTAGTAGAAACCATGAAGCATTCCCCTGGAATTACATCCTTTGGTAGTTGACTTTAGATGAGTGTTGATCCTGACCTAGGGCACTACACTCTACACCACTTCATCCACTTACACCGTAGTACGAAGCGAGAAAAAGGTAATTATTTCAAAATCAGGTCGGCATAAAACAGACCTGAGACAGATTGCTGAATAACATCGAGCTGAAAATCATTGTTTGGTTCACATTATCTGCAAAGTATATTGAAAAGGAAGTTGGCAGAGATTGAACAGACCTGTTGCTAAAGATCAATTTATTGAAAGTGATGTATCTCTGCACGTGGTATGTATATTAAAATGAAGAATATATTACAGAAAACTGTCATAAATGTATGCTACACTTGAAAGCTCTGTTGAATAACACTGTGTCCACACTGAATCTTACTTTGTTTTATCTAAAGGTGACCGTGGTGTAAAGGGAGACAAGGGGGTTATCGGCAAACCCATTGATGGCTTAGTAGGACCTCAAGGGCCTCCAGGTATACTGCTACGTACCAGACATATTTCTTTTACAAACCTGTATTCCAATAATACAGACAATTTTGTGTTAAGCTTCTGTGTGCTTTTTTTAAATCATTAACTTCTGTATTATGCATCAAAGAACATATTTGTAAGCTAATCATTTTGCTGCAGAACAATTTTAAAGTTGAGTGTTTACTGTGTTGTGAATGATGCAATTTATCATTTTTGTTTTGAAGGTTAGGTAAATGTTACTGCTTATATCAGCAACGTTCTCCAGCCCAATAACCTTCAAAGGCCTCTGTGATCATCCAAAACTGGCCTCTTATGCATTCCGAGATAGTAGGGACTGCAGATGCAGGAGAATCCGAGACAACAAGGTGCAGAGCTGGATGAACACAGCAGGCCAAGCAGCA